TTAATCGAACTTTGTTTTGGTTCTGCCAAATAGTCCACAATAAGTATCCATAAAGATATTTCGTTGACATTTTTAAAATACCTATTTTTTTCTAAGGGACACTGTGAGCGTGAACGCAATTTTATTCTTATTCTCACGCGGTGACGTCACTAATTATAATCCGTTTTTGTTCTCAGAGCATTTAATATTTGACAACAAGCTAGATGGCTCCGATGGTAGGGCGGGCGCTTGGCATGCGAGAGGTCCCGGGTTCGATTCCACGAACCTTTTTTATTTCATAATTTTGTTGTTTCTTTGTTAAACAGTGTTCGGTTGGGTTGGGTTGGTTAATTTGTTTTAGTTTTATCGTAACATAAAATCTACCAGAAGTTGTCGAACTTTTTTTATTTCATAAATTTGTTGTTCCTTTGTTAAAGTGTTTTATTTTTATCGTAACATAAATTTGCCCATTTTAGTTGGGTTTTTTGCTCAATGGGGCGGGGGGGGGTCAATGGGGCGGGGTCGGTTGGGTTGTGTTGTTGAGTTTGGGTTGGTTTGGCTGCAGTAAAAGAGTCTCGATTTTATTATTAGGTAGTAAATTTTATTACATTTGCATAATCAAATCAAATGACATAATCAAATCAAATGACACGACACCTAAAAAGTAAAATTAAATAAAATAATGCGTGAGAATAAAATTAAAATTATTTTGACTTTAGCGTGAGAATAAGAATAAAATTGCGTTCACGCTAGCGTGAGACTAGACACAGCGTATTTTTAAATACAAAACAAAATAACCTAAAAACTTTTTTGACAGCTGAATGTCAAACGATGATTTCCGGTTCTTTTCACACAGACCTGTCACTTTTCACACAGAAATGTCACTTTACATTCGTGTTTTGCCTTGCCAATGAAAACATTCATTTTCTAAGCAACCCAGCAAACATTTATCAGCGGCATTTGGGAGGCTGAACGTCAGGAAGCGATAATGACTACGTTGGCCCGCCGTTGATTTACGACAATCGGCCCGCCGTCAATAGGAGACAAGTGTCAACGGTCAGCCAACGATCAAATGCCGACATTGGCCTGCTGTTGTTTTTAGACATTGGCCCGCTGTTGTTTTTAGACATTGGCCCGCCGTTGTTTTTAGACATTGGCCCGCCGTCAATAGGAGACAAGTGTCAACGGTCAGCCAACGATTAAATGCAGACATTGGCCCGCCGTTGTTTTTAGACATCGACCCGCCATCAATAGACGATGTTTATTAACTATAGTTAATAAACATCGTATATAATATAGATATCTAAAGGTTTTTTTTGGGGTTTCAAACAAGCAGGGAAAATCATAAAAAATTATATTGGCTATATATATTGTACTTACCATTTAGGGAAAAACATATTCTTTACCCTACTAAATTTTGGATTTTTGTAAAATAATTAAATTTTCATGTGCATTAATAAAATTGTTTTGTAAAATTTGAGTTTTAATATTAGCTGACAATTGTTTTAATTTCGATAAATTTAGTTAATAAAAGGTAATAAATCATTATTCATTTAAACAAAAAGTATATAAAAAAATGTTAATGTTATTAAATAAAATATATCTTTAAAACTCTTAATTATAAAAAAAAACTAAAGTAATAAAATCATTATAATTATTTCTGTAGTAGAGAAGAGTCTCTTTGTCTTCTTCCTCCTTCCCTATCACCAGCTGTCCTTAACCAACCGTTGATGACACTTTCCACCTCTGTGGTGGATGCATCTTTTGTAAGGTTGTTTAGTGAGCCTTAAAATAAATATTAAAACACTTAATATACTTGTACAAATAAAAGTCTTACCTATTATGAGGTTAACTATATTATTATAGGTCACAAATTGGCTTTTTGCTCCTTTCCCCTTCCAGTTGTATTGTTTAGCCAAACTGTTGGATGATATTTTAGATAGTATTCTTCTTGTGGAATCAACTATGTCTTTTCTCCCAATAAGCCTTAGTTTTGAGCACTAAAATTGAGATTAATAATAACTAAATTAAAATTTAATATATCATAGGTATAGAATATAGGTAAAAAACCACAGACCTGTGTAAAAAACAAACTATATATATATGTATATATATCAAAATATTTTAAGTTAAGTTGCTTACGAGCCCGTTAGGCTGAGTGTGTATTAACACGAGCTTGAAGAAAGCTTTTCTTACAAGTAAAACACAATGTTTTTTCTACGACCTTTTTATTTTTTATTATATTCAAATACAAAAAAAATAACCTAAAAACGTGTTTGACAGCTCTGTTAAAATTACTTTTATCTTATTCTTTTAATTTTTAACGTATAAGTTACTTAAAATCAATAAACTTACCTTCTCAATTTAAATAAAGGCACTAAAAATTAGAATTTATTATAAAAACACAATTAATTGTGTTCTAAATGATATTTACAAATACAATACAAATTTTAAAAAGAATGTCAAACGATGCTGTCAATTTCTTTTCACACAGACCTGTCACTTTTCACACTGAAATGTCACTTTACATTCGTGTTTTGCCTTGCCAATGAAAAGATTCATTTTCTAAGCATGCCAATACGAAATGTGACTTTTTACATAGTGGTCGTAGAAAAAAAACATTTCATTGTAAAATTTATGTATACAAATTTACTTACTTGCTTTCCTGTGACATGGTGATCAACTAACACAGGCAAAAACCACTGAATTGTTAAAAAAAACTTACTAACACTCAAAGAACAATAACAAAACAATGTTTAATCCTTCACGTTCCATGGCCGGTTACAAAAGAACGACCCTAGACCTGTTTTGTCTAGGAGAACGACGCCGCGCAGTTTATATACGCACCATGCAGAACACGACACTGCCGCGCCGTTGCCAAATTCTTATTAAATTTTTTAATATTTTATTTACATTTTTATGGTCTAGTATTATTAATAAATAAACAATTAAAACGCCAAATACATTTTAAAAATTCCAGAAATATTTTATGAGAAACTTTCTTTGAAAATTAGTTAGTATATTATACTTTCCAAAGCTTTGGTGCTGCATTGTGCAAATGATTAATCATAATTATAACCTTGAAAATGATTTTACGCGTGAGTTTTCAATTTTTAGTGTAATTTATAAGTGTATTGTTCATTAAAAGTAACTAAATTTTATTAAAAGACTCAAAGTTTGAGTATTTCACGGCTGTGTGGCAACACTGTAGATTGTGCTCTAACCTTAAAACCACTCAACGTTAAAACTTTAAATTAGTAATTTTTATTTAAATAATTATTATGTATTTAGTATTGATGCAGATATTTGATAACAATAACAATTCATAAAAAGGAATTTTCTAAAAATTTCTAAAAACAATTGTATTAATAGGTCCGGTAATTTGATGTCTTAAAGCAACGGCGGGCCGATGTCTTTAAACCACGGCGGGCCGATGTTTTTAAGGCAACGGCGGGCTTATGTATCAAAATAACCACCAGCCGACATGAAAATGATCGTCTTGCCGACGTCGGACCGACATAATGCCGCTTATTAAAGTTTTTAGGTCAAAAATATATATTTTAAAAACAATTTTATTTTATGTTGAAAAAAGTTAGTTTATACTATCATAATAGAGCAAAAAAGTGCCAACGTAAAATTGCTGTTTTATTTGTATAATCAAATGCCACCGTTGGCCTGACGACGGTTGTATGTTGTAATTTGATGTCTTAAAGCAACGGCGCGCCGATGTCTTTAAACCACGGCGGGCCGATGTTTTTAAGGCAACGGCGGGCTTATGTATCAAAATAACCACCAGCCGACCTGAAAATAATCGTCTTGCCGACGTCGGACCGACATAATGCCGCTTATTAAAGTTTTTAGGCCCAAAATATATATTTTAAAATAATTTTATTTTAAGTTGAAAAAAAGTTAGTTTATACCATCATAATATAGCAAAAAAGTGCCAACGTAAAATTGCTGTTTTATTCGTATAATCAAATGCCAATGTTGGCCCGACGGCGGCAGTATGTTGTGTTTCGATTATAATTTACTAACGCTTTGCCGTCCAAAAAAATAATGTTGGCCAAACGTCGCGCCGACGTCCAAAAAAGATAATCGTGTTGCCGACCGTCGCCCGCTGATTAATGTTTGCTGGGAACGATGCCATCATGAAAAGTGACTTTTACATAGTGGTCGTAGAAAAAGTTTTTTACATCATTGTCTGCAAAAAAATCAAAAAGATCTCCGAAGCTACATAACCTCACTTTATACTATTAAAAATTGTTATTATTATTGTAAGTACGTTTTATGTTCCGTTTAACAAATAAAACTGCGCCATTTGGCTGAGAAGTGTCTTTTAGTGCTTAATTGTAGGCCTCCGCCAACGCGTCGCATTCAAACTGATCTCAGTACAAAAAGACTAACTTCTCAGCCTTATGACATAAATAACTATTTTTTGCAATCATAAAATAATTTTCATATTATAACACTCATAAGTTTATATAGAAAGACTAGGTACTTTAAAAGTCAAATTATTATAAACCTCCGAACAAAAATGATACTAAAATGTCAGTTGAACTTGAACTAAAAATGAGTGTACATAATCTTAAAAAAATATATTTTTAATGTTATAATTTAATATTTAAAATAAAGAAGTATATAAAACACGGCGTCGAATTGCCTCGCACACAATCTACTGCCTCGGCTGGCGCATCGGCAGTGAAATGTATGCTCGGCTATAATATGAGCTTTCTTTTCCCGGTATATAGGTATAATGTACTTTTAAATTTAAAATACTCAATTTGAAAGGAGACTGCGCGACTTTTGACACTACGGGTGAAGATCACACTCTTTGCGTAAGCCTATTACTAAAACTACAGTTCTTTGATCGCCGCTCAGAGATTTTTCTCTCATGGCTCCGATTCTTCTGAAAAGTATAATCTGGTTTCTGGTCTAGATCGGTTAAACTTTGTCGGCCTGTGTAATTTTGAGTGTAATAATAATTTAAATGTAATGTAAATAATAACAAATTCGTGTTTTAGAACATATCGTTAAAAAATATAAGGTAGATAAAGCAGAATGTTTAGCAACACTAAAAAAGTATGTATCGGAAGATAAAAAAGTAAAAAAGTATCCAATGTTATTTGGTAAAGAGCTGGGAGAAAGGCAAAAAGTTCAATTGATTTTGTTTTTGGTGAGTCAATAAATTATTATCCACTATGTGTGTTTTTATGTTTATTTATTTAGAATTAATAAAAAATATTTAATTGTTACAGGCAAGCAAGTATATGATCGAATTTGATGCCACCCATTGTACTCCTTTGCCTTCCGAAATGTTTCAAGAACCATGGAACGGCTAGAATATGACATTCTCTCGTATATAAATATAAATTTATAATAATATTTATAAAATAAAATGTACCTAATAAGTTTTTTAAACAAATACTATAATTACACCAGGTGTGTTAGTTAACAACTTAATTTTTGGGCAATACCAATTTTCAGAAATATTTACTGAATTTTTATTTGAGAATTATAATATATAAAATATATATTAATTATGTAAATATTAATATTTACATAATTTATTGTGTTATATAATTTAGAACTAAATTTATCAAAATTTAGATTTTATTTAAAAACGAGTTGCACAAAAAATAGCAAATAGTTAAACAGTGCCCGCCGTATAACTTGACAAGAAGGCCTTATCCGCAATTGACGTAATTTGGTAATAGTAATTGGTAATGATACCTCAACGTTTAACACGTGTTTGGCAAAGCAGTGACTACACGTGTTAAACTTTACTTAGGGGTACCATTACTAATTACCATTACCAAATTACGTCAATTGCGGATAAGGCGTTCAATATTTACTTTTTTTTAAATTTTTTTAAAAACATTTTGTTTAATTTTTTTATAGAAAATATAGTATATATATATTTAATATACCCAAATTTCATCGTATCGCAAAATTATTGTTAAACTAAAAAATATATTAGATTAAAAAATATATATTTAATAATGTTACACATAGAATTCATCATATATGCTAAAACCTCAATTATATGAAATTATAAAAAAACCATAAGGACAAATTTAAAGAATCGATCTTTTGGTGCAATGGACACATTGTGTTGAGATTACCACCCAATGTAGCTACTGAAGCGTGATTTATCGTTTGGGTGTTGGTCTATATAAAAAGACTTTATATTAATACCGTTGAGTGAAGAAGTTCTTTACTCAACGTTATTAATATAAAGTCTTTTTATATAGACTTATAACTTAATAATATTAAGTTATAAGCACTGGCTTGCGATAAATTTTGGGCCCCCCAGCGAAAATATTTACTGGGCCCCCTGACTTTACATATTTTTTACATGTTTTTATATTGTTAATAAAAATATTTGGTGACATAGTATTTATATTATTTTTATTTATTAAATAAACCTATTATTTATTATACTGTGTGAAAATAACCTTTTTTTTTTCGATTAAATATAGGTATCTAAAAAGTGTCTTCAATATGAAAAAAAATCTCCTAAAGTTTGAGCTCAATATCTCTAAAATTGAGCTGGCGCAAAGGGGGTCCCCTTTCCCATTTAAAATACATGGGAATTTTCTTTTTATTTTACAATAAATACATAAGTAAATTTTATTTTAAATTTTGTTTCTCACTATCTTATAGGAAATTTAGTTCTCTACAAAATTGTCCCTATGCATTTTTTCTCTAAACTCATCAGAAACACAGTTACATAGCAACTTTATCGACTGTAATATTCGATTTTTATTTTTTCCTCCTATTCAGCGCTATTTTGTTAATATTTACAAAAAATCTATAATAAATAAATTAAGAATAGGTACCTTATAAAAACAATTACCTAAATGTTAATTAACTAAAAAATAAAGTACACTGCAACAAATATTAATAATATTAACAATATTAATAATATTTTATAGTTTACATTTTTAGAGCTTATCAATATGTACCTACCTGCGTAGGTGATCAATTATACTCCCTATATTAAATTAGAAATTTACCTATATTGAATTATATTATCCCCTTAAGGCCCTGAATAAATATGACAACATGGCAGTTATCCAGTACTTAAATTAATTTTGTATCTCGACCGTCGAGACTCGACGCTGCAGCGCGCTGTAATAAGATTTGAGTTGCGCGCGACATCGGTGTTGTTTCGAATGATGGCGTATTCTTATCAGCTGAATTGTGTTCTGGAATTTCGATTAATATAACTTAAATTTTGCTTAATTTAAGGCCCTAAAATTCCTCACATTAAATATGAGGGCAGTTTTGGTTTATTTGTGTTTAATATGTATGTTTGTGGAATGTTATTCATCAGATTTTAAAAAACCCACTATAGTATTTTCAATACTTGTTAGAAATAAAGCACATACGTTGCCTTATTTTCTTACTGCGATAGAAAATCTTAATTATCCAAAACACCGAATTTCATTATGGTAAGTTTCACTTGTTCAAAACACAAAACTAACAATTTTTGTTTACACTAACCACGTGTAAAGATAGGTAGGCCACGCCTACGTACGTTGATCCCATTGGTTACCTGTTGAATTTTGGCGAGCTAAATTTATTGATTATTGCATCCAGAGGCAATTGCATCTGATTGCATCTAATTTTAAAGTAGTCTTAAAAACGCGAAATTTATTTTCATTGAATACATAATTATGATTAAGTAGGAAGCTATTTATAGTTTATTTCGAAGATCAAGGTCTGTTATGTCTATTTAAATATTTATTTTATAAACATCCCAATGCATGAAATCTATAGGTAATTCAGATTGTATTTTTTTTGGAAAAGTATAGGTAAGTAACTACATGTATTTCATAAAATTAAATTTACCAAATGACCAATTATAATTTGGGTGATACCTATTTAAAGAGTAGAATTTAATTACTTGACAATTAGGGCAAACAATAAAAATAATTTTACGTATTAAAATAATGTTTGTTTTAACCGGGTTAAATCAGTAACACACACTAAAATGATATTGAAAATCAAATTTTTTCTAAAGATATCATGGGCAATCTTACCCAATATTATGCAACTCAGAATACACTGGAATTTATAAGGACTTGTGGCACTGGCACCCGAAGTAGCATTATAGTGACGAAAACTGATATCGCCACTTCAAATGAGTGCCAATAACGTTAAAATAACTAAATCTACCACGATACAGTTGAAATATCTCCATATTATATTAGCATAGTTGTAATCATGTGATTTGCACTAGGAGAATATACTTCATAGTTTTATAACTTTTTGGTGTATTAGTCTGGTATCTGAAACGTTATGACCACTTTTGCCACCACGTTAAAGTTGTCTAAACTTTAGAGTGAATTATGAATAGTAACGGCAACCAAATCACATCACTTAAGTATTACTTTGAAGTGGTAGTAGTAGTAAAGTGGGTATATCAGTTTTGGCAACGTTATCGGAACTTTTCCCAAACCTTGAATGTGGCAAAACTTGATTATATTATTGTGGTGGTGATTGACACGTTCTTGCTAGTTACATACTTAAGTGATTTCCATGTTTCGTATAGGATTACTCCTTTAAAGTTCCCTTCTTCAAAAGCAGACATGTTTACAAATAATCGCCATTGTAGGGAAATACATGTGTAGTTTGAAACAAATAATTCTGGTTATTACCGCATCAAATTTAACAAGTTAATACATATTTATTGGTTTCAGGTGACCAGAAATAATAAAAAAATTATTTGAGGCCTCTAGATAAATAATTTTCGTATCCGCTAAGTTTATAGATTTTAATATTCCTTTTTATTACCACATATTTCAACAGGGCGTGCTTAAATTTCAAACTATGAAACCCATGTTTGCCAGTAAAATATAATTCGTGTTAATTTTATGCATTTGGATTATTTTAATTCTAGTTATTATTTGCAGGTTGTATTCTTACAATATAACTTTAGTATTCAGTGTTAGTTTAATATCCAGTTAGAGAAAGCAAAGATAATAAGATAAATATGCTGAAAAGAGACAGGGATAAAAAGTAAAGAGTATTAAAGTTACCATTAAGTTTTGGCCACTATACCTCCACGTTATAGTAACGTAATCACAACGTGGTATAAACGTATCTTTACAATTCAAGAACGTTGTTGGAACGTAACTGACACTAAAAAAGTGTTCCCCATTTTAGTCACTTCCACGTAATAGAACCCTTTCTACCACGTGGCAGAGATTTTGGCAATACACTTTACAGTTCCAAATATAAGTGGCCAACACGTTTTAACCACTATAAATGCTACTTGGGACAGGCAAGTGGTTTTGAGATATATGTATACATACAAATTTATCGATAATTATGTAAAATGTTATTCAGTTATTATTATGTTAAAGCCCTTTAAATACCTTTTAATGCATTTTATTCTTTTATACTGATATCTTAGTTATTAGGGATGGGACCCACACCAAATTTATATAAGTTTATAATGACACTAAATTGACAATTTAAATAGAAGTTTTCGAAAAACAGATACGCCTGCCCCCCCCCTAATAAAGATAATACAAATTTTAGTGGTGCAATTTATAATTTACAATAAAAATTCAAAATATTACAGATTTTATACCATTTTAAATAAATTTTTATTTCTTTTCCTAAAATAATAAAAAAATAAAATGGGATAAAATCTGTAATATTTGGATTTTTTAAATAAATTTTAAATTTTATCAATAAACTATGGTAAATTATAAATTGCACCACTAATATTTGTATTATCTTTATTAGGGGGGCCAGGCTGCAGGTTAGGCGAAGCAAAATCTTTTTTTCGCAAACTTCTATTTAAATTCTGCTCGCGCAGAACTTTGTTAGTTTGTAATGGCACTAAATAAACAATTTGGTGTGGGTCCCATGTAGGCTTGCCAGATATTAATTTCGAAAAAGGGGTATTTGAAAGGTGACTCCAATTAGGATTTAAATTGAATACTGAAGATCCTTTAAAAATGAAGAAATATTTGATGTTTTTGCCGAGAGTTCCAGTTGTTTCTTATGTTTGTTGGAATGCATATGTTTTTTACATCAAAAACGCCTCCGTTAGCTATGGAGAAGTTAGAGTGACATAGGTATACAACATTTTGCGAATCCGGCTTCTTTGCCTTTTACAAGCCAGTTATACGTTTTGGACCAATCGTCATTAAAATAATTTCGTCTTTTTTTGCTCCGTTTTGGTTGAAATTCTTGCGATTTTTCATCATCAGTGTTATAGTAAGTTTCTGATGATGACATCCCAGTAAACACAATTACGTAAATATGACGTAAATATGACGTCATGTCAAGTCACGCTTACGTAAGATATAGGTCACACTTGAGTCATACAAGAGTCATTATTTCACACTTCCTTACGTCAGACTCTGTCGTAATAAATATGACATAAATATGACGTAAACATATTGATGTAACACTGACATCATACCATTACATAATATTTACGTAATAAATTTGACATAAATATGACCTCAGAATGACGAAACCCCCTTCCTTATTTTTCATCACTGTTTAAGCAGACTCTGCTTAGCAGAGGACCACAGATATTCCATGACAAAACAATCCTGACTCCTAGAAAAAATTCCAGCAAAAAATCTAAATTTTATCGTGGTCCACAATTCCTAATTCGTGTATTTGCCGAGGTTCGATCGGATCCTAAATCTCTAATTGCAATGCAGCCAGTGTCAACTTATATACCTAACGATACGTGCCACATAAGCGAGATGTATTATGCAATGGGGGTTGCCCATGATAAGTAGATTTCAACTTTATTATAGTAGATGCCTACTTATTATAGGCAACCATTACTGCATATTGCAACTGTTAACAATTAATATATCAATGTTATTTGACAACTTTACCCTTATTTGTCTGAAACACAATAACCGGACCAAATATTATTATAAAATTTGTTTATCAATGAAGAATTCTTTAATAGTTTACATATATTATTAAAAATCTCTTGGTTTCTTAATACTAAATATTCTCAGTGTACTTAAATAATTTCGTTTTTCAATTTCATTTCTTTTATTTTTCATTTTTAAAATTTAAAAAATATACTAATACCCACAATATTGTGCAAATACATATCTATTATTATAGGTATTATATTTATATATAATTATACCATATTATATTATAATATTAAATTCTTTAAATTTGGTTGTATTATTTTTTTTTAGTTTTATTTTTTGAACCTCTGTATTTGGAAATTAAAATTTTAGTATGTTAAACAAGGCATTAAATATATAGGTACTACCAGAGACAAGGGTACTCTGGGTACTACTTTTTGACTTAAACCAATTTTGAAAAATTTCTAAAATGGCGTCGTACTGTAAAAAGGTCACATTTTTTTCAATGGGAAATGGAATCATTACAGAAAAGGTATTTATTGCAAGCTGATACTTTATCTAATTTATGAAGCTGATCAAAACCAACTCACAATGGATTTTAAACCAACTACTAATTTTTCAGATTCTTTACAGGGTATGTCAGAAGTAAGAACAAACAAAAATCGCTTTTTATGAGTAGCTATAGCTATAGCTAGGGACAATATTCAACATTTAAAAATTATTTTTATTTTAAAAATTTTAAATTTTAGTATTTTAATAGGTAGGTAACATTTTTTGACATGCATGGATTAAAAAAAAACAAATGACGTCGTACTGCCAAGGTCACATTTAAAAAAATTTGAAGTGAGTGAAATATCATTTCAGGTCTTTTAAAGCGTAACTACTTATTTTTTCGATTGTACAGGGTGGAACAAAAAAATTCTACTTTCACCAAAAGCGCCATTTTCAAAAATTTTTCAAAAAATAATAACAGTAACATACAATACAAAAATAACACGTTAACACGTAATAACACGTAAATCTTTTGTTGATAATTTTTTACAATTTAAAAAATAAGTAGGTACTTGCAAGTACTTGCAACCATGATTATGAGTAGGTACCTACATGATTTTTCACATAAAGCAGTAGGAACCGGAATCATAAAAATCTATATGATGTTTATTACATATTAAATTAAGATACATTATTTTTTTATTGATTTTAAACCATATTTTCATTTAATCGACCAAGTACTAAGTAGCCAAAAAATTCAAGGAACTTCGCGTTAGTTCTTTCATCATGCTAGATGCAAAAGTAATTTCAAAATATGAAATTTGCTGTATTTTAAGGTTTGAATTAAACTGATTGGTAAGGAAAAGTATCCACTGATTTTATTGTTTAAAATAATCGGCGTCAATTTCAATTAATAGAATTTACTTACGTTATTTTACTCAATGATTGGAATTAACCATTTCAATCAATAAAAAATAAAAATTATGTTTGCCTATTTCACTCATTAAAAATAAAAGTCCATTCATTGAAATTAGTTTAATTCAAACATTAAAATACAGTGAATTTCAAACTTTGAAATTACTTTTGCATCTAGT